TTTCTTCCTATCATTGCAGTCTCATATCCTCATGAGGCTGAGTTCAGTCTAAAGGCCCCCACTTTGGGCCGAGTTCAACGGCCACGGAAGACCGTTAAGATTGCATAACTCTTGTCGATTATGGAGTTAGGAGGCCAGCAAACACGCGATAAACGCGGGGAACCACGGCGCATCCGAAGGACGTCCCAGCCCCAGCCCTCGCACCCCTCCCGCCGAAGCGCGAATTAAAAACGCACCACTCGGGGGGGTCGACTGTGAACGGAACCTCGGCGAATATGGAGAACTCTACATCGATCCCAGTGGCTGTGTGGCGCGCAAGCTTAGGGTTGAGGCGCGTGCGAAGACGCGAGACTCGGACGATTGCGAGGTGAGTCGGGCGGGGGGTTTCAGGAGCTCTGGAGCGGCGCGTTCGACTTCCGCAACTCCTTAATGTCAGTTTTTCGACCGTCGCAGCGTCGGAGATCGTTCCTCATCGGGGTCATCGCGTCCAGCGCGGCAGGCTCGACGAGTGAGTGCGAAATCGTCGATTCCACCGGGCCGAGCTCCGGCCGCCGCGCGATGACGTTCGGCCAAACGTGGACCCAGTGGCAGCTCATGCTCGAGGCCACCGTGGAGGCCTTGGTCGCGGGGCAGCACCCCCCATCGGAGGGCCGCTTCGTGAGCGGCGAAGGGCTGTCGTCCCCGTCCATGCGCTCCCGCTCGTCGCTGCCGGCCGAACGATGGGCTGCCCACCGAGCAGTACAGTGCCGCGGGCGCGGCGCACGGTCCCTACCGATCCCTAAGGATGTCGGGGACCTTCGTAGACCGTCGCAGCACAATGGGAGCCGTGCGCAGTCGCACCGCCTCGAGCACCACCCGTGCAAGCAGGTGGGATGGATCGTTACGACCTCCTCGAAATGATCGACGAGGTCGAAATGAAATGATTCATTATCCAGTAATCCATAGACGTCTAGTCATAGAGCCTAACCCGCGGACGCTGAATTGAATCGCGCGCCGCTGCGCAGTTATGGGCTGTGACCGGGACCCTGGGGGAGGGTCCGGAGTCGCTCTGAACACCGAGTAACGGTACAGTGCGTCTCAGCGTCCACGACATCGTACGCGCGTCGCGTTACTCGGTGTTCAGGCGGAGATCTTGACGTCGAACGGGGCAGCCCCTCGGTCCGACGGTCGTTTCGTGTGGTTTATGTACGAATTCGCCCTTCCCGGGTGGAATTGAAATGCTATTTCCGGACGTCCGCTGCCCTTGAGATTGGGTTCGAATTTCCACGCACGCGTGACGACGACGGCGGCGGTGGCGGCGGCGGCGGCGGCGACGACGACCGACCAACGCAGCCCTACTGAAGGGAATCGACTGGGGATGGTGATACACGATCCCCGATGCTGCGAGAGGTCGATAGACATCAAAATGGGGTCGAGGGGATCAAACGCGCCCATCCCAGCCCCCGAAGGACGGTTCGAGTCACCACGCGACCGGCAGCACTTCGCGTCTGCGCATGTGCATCAGGCTCACACTAGCGGAGCTCGAAGCTACTGGGATCGTTGCATCATTCCGCATTATCGCGTGGTTGGGGGCTGATAAAGACGCTCGAACCATAGCTTCGTCTTAAAAGGTTCTCGTTCCGTCCGTGGGTTAGTATGAGCTCGGTGCCTCCGAGGCGACGGTTCTAGCATATCCCGCCGGCGGGATATGTTGAACGCCGCTTCAACCTGGGCTTCAACCTCAAACCTTGCACTTCAACAGGGGCCTCAGCACCGCCGCTCACGCCTTACTGGGGACCTCTGACGCGCCGCCCACGCCCTAGGGGGCGCGACCCGCCCCAAACCACGTGCCAGAACCCCTCCAGAACCCTTCCAGAACCCTTCCGCGAACCCGAAATACCCCAAACCCCTTACGATTTTGCGATTTCGATTTCCCCCACTGCCTCACCCTAGTAAATTGCCCTGCATGTATCCGCCCTATTTATCTCATTATATCCTTACCCTACGGATACGCGTCGCCGTATCTTTTCCCTTTTTCTTATCTCACATCTAGCGAGGGCTGCCTTGGTGTTATCCAGGCTGAGAGTCCGCGCTAGTGCCCCTAGGCTACCCGGGGAGATCAGAGGTAATATCTACTTAGTATTTTAGTTGAAGGGCCTTACAATCCATTGGCATTTGGTCCCAGCTACCCCGTATACGGGCCTCGGAAGATGGGTTTCATTTTCGCCCTTGCCCCCCTTCTGGCCGCCACGCGCCACGCGGGGTTGTGAGCGAAAGCGCAGGCCAAGCCCACGAGGCAGCGGCCCTTTGCGGGGCTGCTTGCCTCGCCGGTTGCTTTTGGCATTGTCGCTGCCTAGCTAGCAGCCTGCTAGGTGGCGTCGCAGCCGGGTCGTGCTCAGGAACAACAGGCTCGCCTTGGTGCAAATCGGCACTATCTCAAGCCCATTCCGGAGGCCGCTGGTGATGCGCTCGCACCTTTCGCGACCGAGTGTCCCGATTGCGCAGTGCTCATCGAACTGCCGGCCGCCCCAACAGAACATGTCGAAGATGGATGCCACGGCAGACGCCCCTCCGGTCCACACTTGAATGATTCGAATCGAGTTCAGCAAACGAATGCTCGCGTTGCCGGCTAGATCAAGCACGTATGGCACGAAGACGGTTGCGAACTTTCGCGGCAGTCGACGATGCGGGACGGCAAAGAGACACCGTCGGTAAATGTCTGCGCGCCAACACACCCAGAGCACATTTCGAAAGGCAGTCCAGTTTGCAAGTCCTCCCGCAAGGGCGAGGGGTTGACGGTCGACGAAGAGGTGCGAGTCCCTACGCACATCTTGAGTGTTCGCGTTCCGTGCGACTGATTGGCGTTCCCGCTCAAATGCGAGATGTCGATCAAGTGCATCGCGCTCCGTTCGCAGAGTCGGAGTCAGAGTACGGTTGATGAGCTCCAGGTTGTCCCTGGCTATGACGAGCAGCGATGACATGGCAGCTTGAAGCCTGCAGTGGATTGATGTAATACGCTCCACGCCGAAGTGAGCATTTGCGGCTGCATTATGACCCAACATTCCAGCTTCGCAAGATCCTAGCCCGTTCCCAATTTTCCTGGCCTCTGTGAGCTCCACAGATAGCCTTCGACGCCAGAACACTGCTCCTCTCAACAGCTCCGCTTCGTTGGCGAGTCGTCCCATCAAGCTTCGACGCTTATATAGGTTTGAGATGCGGTACTTCTCCGCGCAGCCCAGCTTCGCGACAGCCATTTCTGCAGAAGGTGAAAAGGCGTGCCCTGCGATCGTCCCGCTACCTGTGCCAGCAACTAACGCGCCGAACGCCAGAAGGCTGACGAAACTCATCCAGCTGGGGTTCTTCCCTTTCCGTTACGAATCCGCCAAACGGGACGGGGCGCTGCGCACCGTGGCCCGAGTGCGTGACCGCGCCGCGGGTCCCATCCAAGTCCCCCCCCGGCGTTTTGCGTTCCTTTTAGGCCCCCTCCAGCCCCTACGGCCCTAATGGAGCGGCCTACGCCGCCTCGGGGTCGCTCTGGTGCTGTTTGGAGTCTAGCTGCTCATTCTAACCCTCGGACGCTAAATTGAATCGCGTTGAAGCACCTCCTGCGCACGTTATGGGCTGCGACCGGGGGCCCCGGGGGCGGGTCTGGAGATCTTCTTAGTACCGACTAATCGCGCAGTGAGGCTCAGCGTCCGCGAAATCGTGCGCGCGTCGTCTTAGTCGGTACTAAGAAGGCGATCTTCACGTCGAACGGGGCAGCCCCTCGGTCGACGGTCGTTTCGTGTGGTTTATGTACGAATTTGCCCTTCCCGGGTGGAATTAAGATGCTACTTACGGACATCCGTTGCCCTTGATTGTGGGTTCGAATCTCCACGCGCGCGTGACGACGACGACGGCGGCGGCGGCGGCGGCGGCGGCGGCGGCGGCGGCGGCGGCGGCGACGACGACGACGACGACGACCGAGCGACCGACCAACCCAGCCCTACTGAAGGGAATCGACTGGGGCGATGATACACGATCCCCGATGCTGCGAGAGTTCGACAGACATGAAAAAGGAGTCGAGGGGATCAATCGCGCCCCATCCCAGCCCCCGAAGGACCGTTTGAGTCACCATGCGATTGGCAGCACTTCGCGTCTACGCATGTGCTTCGGGCTCACACTAGCGGAGCACGAAGCTGCTGGGATCGTTGCATAATTCCGCATTATCGCGCGGCTGTGGGCTGATAAAGACGCTCGAACCATAGCTTCGTCTTAAAAAAGGTTCTCGTTCCGTCCGGGGGTTAGAATGAGAGCTGGCTGGACTTGTCGTGCTTCGCCACCCGCAACGACGTCGGCGCATGCTGAATCTCGCTTGTAGTGCAGTGGATCGTTCTCCGCATGTTCCCTTTACACCGCTTCCCCACACCGACGTAGATATTTAAGATTATTTACACTGCCCGATATACTCCGGGATCTAGCAACACCAAGCCGGCGGGCTGCCTATGCAACCCCCAGGCTCCTTGCTCACTAAAAGTGTCTGCTATCGGACGCGCAAGACTGCGCGGCTGGACGCGTCGATCCCGAGGCCTTCGTTTTATCCGCGTTTTCTTAGTGCCCCACCCTGCTGCGGCCATACTGAGTTTAGGTCAGCCACTCCCCACTTTGCGCATGGCGGCGAGTCTACTCGACCCCACGCCGTGTATGATGCCCTTGGAGCCAGGCTACGTGGCCTAGGATGTCATGCATACCGAGGTCCAGGGGCATGCTGCACCCAGGCTCGAAGTGAGCTGGGTGTCGCAAGGTAATGCTGGACATCTTCCAACCTGCAAAAATTATATCCAGCAAGCAATATTGAGGGAAGAAAACACTGTGAAATGCGTGGACATCAGAAACTCCCTATGCTGCTTCGACGATTTTGAAATCTGCTGTCTATGCACAGACTTTGCTTCGTTCTCTGTTTTTTTTCTTGATGAATCTAACAGAGCGGGTTGTTCAAAATACGGGCTCCTATGTGCATGCCCTTGAACTGGAGCACGCCCTTGAACTGGAGCGATACCCGCGGGCTTGTATGATCCATTTGACTTTTCAATCGAATGCTGCTGAATCGAGCGGTACGAGGTTACTAGGTGCGTCAAAGGATGACCCTTTTGAACATCGTCTCTGTTCTTTACTGCCTTGAAAAAAGTTTCCTCTGCACACCAAAACATATGGACTTAAAATGTTAGAGGACTACACACCTCGTCGTCTTACGATTTCATCCACGGATAATTGCAAGCCAGATTTGTCCGGCTGGGTATTTGGGGAAGCATCACTAGCAACGTTGGGCGAACTATAAATTGGAGCAGGCATGGAGGGGGCTTCGGTGAGCATCCAGGTATTTCGATTCGGCTTTATGGGTGCCTCATGAGAATGCTCGTGATGGAGTCGCCCTAAGGGTTCATTTTCCCAAGGTGGGGCACGCGAGGAAAGACCCATGCCAAGACTGCTTGATACAATTTCACGCTGGGTAGTCATCAAGGTCAAAGGTGAATTTGCCAATTCTGCATATACTAGGAAGCAGTCTTCGCAGACGGCTACTGTTTTGTACATAAAAAGGGGATCTCGTCGGTATTTTCGATACATTGCAGGTGTCAACTTGGGATGGACTTTGCGAATGATCGGTGGCAAAGTAACGTTAATGTCACGTGGTTCTTGCTTGTTTCGCTCCTGGTGCGAGAGTAGGTTTCCAAACCCGACACCCCCGGCTGCCGCAATAACCTCGGGGGCGGGCGGCCATTTTAATAACCCCGTTTCTGTATCAACCTGGAGAAGGCTGAGGAGTAGTTCAAAGTGCGTAATTATGGTCTTATACTGGACCGGATGAAATTGGTCCGACGTGGCCACTTTCGCACAGCTAACGCAGCACACGCAGGCAAGACTCTCCGGCTCTGCCTCAGAGTGACTTGCTTTATCAACCAGCTTGACATATGGTGGTAGTTGGACAATTGAGTCAATGCTGACAGCTTGTTTCGTCTCAGCCGCATTTCCAATCGAGATTGGCGCTTGCTTATGCTCGCTGGTAAGCCGAATAGAACTGCTCCAAAGGAGCCAGATTCGATCTCTAGAATCCACTTTGAAGTTAATCACCATTCGTGCAATGCGGTGCTTTTGGAAAGATACTTCATTGATGTGTGTGACAAGATTTTCACAGATTCGTTGGATTTGACTAGGAAGGGTGCTACCTCGAAGGGGGGCCGCCGCACTGAAATGTTCAGGTCCCTCATATGTAACTGCACGTTCATAAAGGCCGTATCGGTGGTCATGGAGTTGCTTTGCATTCACTCTTCGTTCGAGCAGACAGACCTTCGGGGACCAGATCGCACGAATGACCACATTCCTGATCCCCTTAGGTTCGACGAAGCGCTGCAGCACCCCATTATGTTCCTTCCAGCGATTATATAAAAAATCATGTAATCCTCTGCGGTCGAAATACTCTATGTTTGTTGTTGCCCCCCCCCCGCTCTCATCGGTGACCTCGCTGATGTAGTACGCAACGATGTCGCACCCGATGTTACGCTTGTTAAACGTCTCCTCGATGCGGACGTTTACCAAATTTTGTTTGTTTTTCTTTTTGATCTTACCATCAGCTGCGCTTGTAAAATACCAGTGTACCGGCTGCCCAAATTTGTAGACCACTGTATCTGGTAGCCACAGCGACGGTCCGTATCCCAACTCATCTTTAGCATGGAGCCAGTGCAATAACACGTCTGAGATTCCGTCGCCTTCTAGGGAATCGAGCACCATTTCATGGAAATGCAACGCTCTCAAAGATACATGTACGACATGAAGGAATGATAGAAGATGTAGGATGATATAGGATAATAATAATATAGAGAGATAGAGAGGTTTCTACCTTCATCTTCAGTGAACTGCACCTTGATGTTGCAGTGCACCATACTAGGGAGAAATACCCCAAACTAGGGTACTAAGGAACGTTGAGGTCAACGTTACGGGGAAGTGCAGTCACACGGTGTCATCTCCAATGGCCCCAAAACTTGATTCATACCGTCCTCGGTATAGCAGAGCTTCACGAACCAATTATTTAAATACCATCGGGCGCAATCCGTAATTACAAGGCCTTCGCTATCACCATACTCAATAAGAGCATGACAGTCAATGCATTATCCAATTCACATAACCCTAATGCTAGGGCAGGCAGCCGGGGGGCTGCCCTTGAGTGTAGAAGTCGATGGTGAGGTGGCCGGGGGCCATCCGAGGTTGAGGTAGGAGATGAGGGCAAGATGCCCGAGTCCACCTTATGCCAATTGAACTTAGCAGATGACGGCAAGATATTCCGCCTGTGATAATTAAAAAGACTTAATTAATTTCAGCCAATCAGAAGGCAGCAATCGCTTGTGGTCGTAGTTCGGCTCGATGCTGGGAGTTCTGGATGAGGTGTAGAGTATAGAAACTCCCAAGGCCTGAAATACCTCTCCCAAGGATGATCCAGAGCATAGTGTAGAGGCACCGTCTTGGTCCGATTGAAGTCGTCATAGTCGGAGTCACCCCCCGTATCTATAGACTATTAACAACCGTGTAATTCGTTTAGCGAATCCGACATGCATCGCAAGAAAGTCTTATTAAAGGTCATAATTTTGGGGGATTCAGGAGTTGGCAAGGTGCGCGGCGAAGAACCCTGAATATCATCTAGAAATATCATCTAGACTGCGCTGATGAACCAGTATGTCAACAAGCGTTTCTCGGCATCGTACAAGGCGACCATCGGGGCTGACTTTCTTACCAAAGAGGTACTTTCTTACCGTGGAGAGTGAACTCCTTTCATATTTTAATCAAGCTCGGGCGTTCAGGTTATGATTGATGATGATAAGCTGGTGACACTACAAATTTGGGATACAGCCGGTAGGTATGTTTAGGACTCACCATGCAAGTAATCATTGGAGTCTATCACAGGTCAGGAGCGCTTCCAATCACTCGGGGTGGCATTCTATCGTGGCGCGGACGCATGCATTCTTGTCTACGATATTACTCAGCCGAAGTCCTTCGATAATCTTGACTCATGGCGTGAAGAATTTCTGGTTCAAGCGTCGCCCCCTGACATTGAAAACTTCCCATTTATTGTCCTCGGCAACAAAGTAGACCGCGAAAATGATCGACGTGTATCTAAGGCCAAGGCACACTCCTGGTGCAAGTCGAAGAGCTCAGCACCATTGCAGTACTTTGAGACATCTGCCAAAGAGGCAGTCCAAGTCGAGGCTGCTTTCCAGGAAGCTGCCCAGCTTGCCCTCTCCCAGGAGAACACGGAAGCAGACTTCCTACCCGAGACTATCAACCTTGGGGTGCCTTCAGCTGGTGGGGTTGCCAAAAGCAGCTGCTGTTAGATAATTGAGCCTCCTCCGGGCTGTTTGGCCTTTCGCAAGTTCTACTTGGACCAGGGGCTGGATTAGGCCAGACCACACCCGGGGGAATTGGCCAGCACTAACCACGCATACCGGCGGATTGTCGGTAGGCAGAGTACGAGATAACATATCCCGCCGGCGGGATATGTTAAACGCCGCTTCAATCAAAGATGGAGGTGCCCATACTAGTAAGGATTCTAGTAAGTAACCCGTCCTCAACCTGTAGGCGAACTGGACGCATTCAAACGAGAAAATTTCCTTTCAGGCCACAGCGGAACTGAGAAGAAACAACTCAAACCCAAACCGACCACTGCCAGAACCCCATCCAAATCTCGAGAGCTCGAGCGAAGTGGCACTCAACACGAGGGTCGTGGAGCTAGAACGACGCCTCGAGGACCAGCGCATCAACTTCAACAACTATGTATCAGTGCACAACAAAGGCATCAGAAAACACATCAAACTTGTCAAAACAGAGATGGCACGTGATGCCAAATATTTAAACTCAGCTAAAAGTATGATCACAGACGAGAACAACAAACAAGTGCTAACTAGTTTGATAGAACCAGACGCCCGGAGCCGCAAGAAGGCACTGAAAGGGCCGAAGCCTATGAAATACATGGACGCAGATGGCAACCCCGTCAAAGAGAGACCGCCCAGCATTACTGGGACCGCGCGCAGCTGGCTTGAAATCTCTAGCTCGGACGACGACTCGGAATCCGAGCCCTAAACTGGAATCCCGCTGGATCCGCCGGCCCCGCCGGCCGCCCGTCGCGCGCCCACTGTGCCCCCCTCGCCCCCCCTGTTGTGTCGACCACCCCCGCGCACCCCGAGGCCTCTCAAGATAGGCCGGGCGCGGTAACTGTGTCTCGCATCGTGGCTAGAAACTCCCATCACCCGGAGCCCTATACTAGAACTAGAACCGTTCTAGTTCGTTCTAGTAAGCCCCGCGGCCCCGCGGCCGCCGGCGGCGGCAGAACCTCGCCCAGAACCCCCCAGCGCCGGACGGGACCCCAAGGAACCCGAAACGGCCCCGAGAATTTTGGGCCGGCAGCTGGGGGCTTTACTCAGGCGCCGGGGGGGCGGGTGGGGCCCAAACTAGAAAGCGTCGAGTTTCCCGCGGGCTGCCCGGCGCGGGCGTGTAGGACACCTGTAAGTCGATCGAGCCCGAGATCGCCGCGTCGTCCGAGCACGACATCGTCCACCGACAACCCACGGATGAAAGGCGCTTCGAGGTGCTACGTGCTGTCCGTGCCGCGGATGCGGGCGTGGACCCGGTCGTAGGCTTCAGCATCGCCACTGGAGACGGAGGGCCGTATCTGGCCGAGAGCAGCGTGGAAGTGGTCATGGTTGAGTTCGCCCATTCCTTGTTTTAGGGCTGCGAGGCCCGCAGTGCGGACGACGGCGGCAAGGTCTGCTCCAGAAAAGCCATCGGCGCGGGCGTCTCGGCCGAGGGCGGCAAGGTTGACATCCGCGTGGAGCTTAACACGGCGTGTGGCGGCGACAAGGATGGAAACCCGTTCCTCTGGTCTAGGGAGAGGCACAAAAAGAAGCTTGTCAACGCGCCCTGGACGGAGAAACGCGGGGTCGACAAGCTCAGGACGATTCGTCGCGGCGACAACATAGACCTGGCCGCGTGTGTCAAGTCCGTCGAGTTCTGTGAGAAGCTGATTGACGACGCGATCTGTGACGCCATTTGAGTCGCCGGAAGCCTGCGTGCCGTCGCCGAGAGGGCCGCCACGGCGCGGGACGAGGGCGTCAACCTCGTCAAAGAAGACGATGCACGGAGCAGACGCAGACGCGCGCGCAAAAAGCGCCCGGACAGCCCGCTCGCTCTCGCCAACATATTTATTGAGAAGCTCAGGACCCTTGACGTTGATGAAATTAGCATCCGAGGCCCGGGCGACTGCGCGGGCGAGGAGCGTCTTACCGCAGCCCGGTGGTCCGTAGAGGAGTACGCCGGCCGGAAGCGGAACGCCAAGCGCAGCAAAGCGATCAGGGTCCGCAATAGGCGCAAGAATTGACGTCGTCAATTCGTCCCGCACGCCGACGAGCGCACCGACGTCCTTCCAGTCAACGTCGGGTGCACGGCTGAAGCCCGACCGGCCAAAGCATGGTTCTACGGTGGTGAGCGCACGTAAAACATCTGCATGCGTCACCAGGAGCGGCGACGGCGGCATATGAGCACCATTAGGGAGGGCAACGAAGACACTTTTTTCAGTAGCGGCTGGATGTGCCGCCGTACCATCCGTGGCAGCTGCGGCAGCGCGCCACGCGCTGACGCGTCGTGCACAGACAGCGCCGGCCTCGTCGGCGAGGGCGACGAGGTCTGCGCCGACCCAACCGGGCGTCACGCGGACCACATCTTGAAGCGCAACATCGTGATCCCGAAGACGAGGGAGTGCCGCATCAAGTATGGCCTCTCGCGCGGCGCGGTCGGGTGCGCCAATTGCGACCTCCCGCGCAAAGCGACCCAACCGCCGAAGTCGCGTGTCCAACGAATCGGGGGTCCTTACCGTGGCAAGCACGACTACAAGATTCAACCCATCTGATGACGACGGTGGCGTAGCATCCGGACGACACCGGAACGAGGGCAACGCGTCAAGGCATCCACAGAGGCGCGACGCAATACCTATGCCAGAATCAAGGTATGAGTTGGGATGCCCACGCTCGAGAGTCCTTCGGTCCGATCGAAACCCGAGCGTCATCAACTTTTGAAATCATACGGGGTGGGGGGAGATTTTCCAAGTTGGGAGAGGAGGGAAAACTCGTAAGCCCTCTGGTGCATTTATGATGGGATAAAATTGGCCCAAAGATAGAACCACCCTAAACATCCTACACTGAGCAAGGCGCCTAGCGTGCAGTGACTCACTGCCGTTGCTGACGCCGGCACCACCGCCGCAACCGATGAGCACATCGAGATCGTCGAGGAAGACGAGAGACGGCGCCGCTGTAGTGGCTGCCGAGAGCAGTCGCTCTAGATTCATCTCCGCCTCAGGTCCCGACCCCAGGTCACCACCGGAGAGCTCAAAGTAGCTCAACTCACCACCCCCTTCCGCTGCGAGCGCAATTGCCGCCGAACCGGCCGTCGCCCGGCAGAGAAGCGTCTTTCCGCATCCTGGTGGTCCATGCACGAGCACGCCCCGTGGACCATCAACGCCCAGCGCCGCATACGACTCACGCGCTGACAACTGGTCTACGACCGCTTCCCGCACGCGTGTCACCGCGCCTGCATAACCCACATATTCGTTGAGGGACACTTGCGGAGCCAGGCGACGCGATGCGGCTACTGGGTCGACCGAAGCTACCACCTCCTCGGGGGCAGTCCCGTGGACCCGCCGCTTTTTCGATGACCGAGCAGCTGACGCAGACCCATCGCCCTGTCTCGAAGATGTCGGTGAAGCCAACGGGCTGCCCTGGAGCGCCGAGTACGTCCCCCGCAAACCATCGTTCATAGACGCCACCGCCTTGGCCACTCCTGAGTCCCCACCGCTGACATTGACGACGCAAGTCTCTATAGTCCGCTTCCCGGTCGCGGAAACGTCGGTGTCATTGATGGAGCCCTCCGACAACGCATCGCGCACCATGTTTCGTAGCGCCGCCTGCGGCTTGCGTCCGTATTCAGGGTGCTGCTTCACAAGTACTCCCACCACGCATGCTGCTGGATCCTCGGCACGGATATCACCAGCAGCGATTAATCGACTCACCACGCACCGTAATTTTGAGGCTGTCCCGGTATCACTCATCGACAATCGTGCACAAGACTCCAGTGACGAGAATCGACGGAGCGCATGTCCTGCGTTAATCAATCGCCCTGTCACCGCTCCTCCGGTCCAGCGCTGCGATGCGCCGGCGATCGCGGCCCGATTCTCCACACGCGAGCGACGAGCGCCGTGATGGCGCCGGGCACGGCGATGGCTTCCTGATGCGCGGTGTGAAGGAATGGTTGTAGCTTAGTGGCCCGCAGCTCCCCTGGTTATTGGCTATTTGGGGAAGATGCGGTTCGAAGCGTTTGGTATAAAACCTTACCTCTTCCTCTTCTAACCCTGTTATAGTTGCCTCCCGCACTGTAATAGACGGAGAGTCTTCCTGGACCTTACTATCTCGTTAGGTTTGGGACCCAGCGCTCGGTCTCTCTGCGTAGACCCCACGCATTCTTTTCTTTCGCTTCGCGTTTGCGTTTTCCCCCGCGCTCAATTGCAGGGGGAGAATGGATCCGGATGCGGACATACCCCTAACAAGCACTACGTAAAACCCAGCAATCTCAATTAATCAAGCTATGGACGATCCCCGCGACTGCATTTTGGCTCGAGGGAGGGTGTGCGTTGGCACGATTTGGGAGAAGGGGGGTGAGATTAAGACTGCCAAGTTTCAGGTCTGAAGACCATGGGGTTGGGCGCGCGCGCCATCGTCTAAAAGGCCATAATATGTGCGGTGTAGTGAGGGTGAGGGGTCGCATCGCCGCGATCGTCGCGCGCGAGCCCCAAACTTGGTAGACTCGACCTATGTATGTATTAGAGTGCCACCGTAAGCTGTAGCACAGCTGCGACCCAGAATATAGTCATGGGATTATCATGCATTCGTTTGATGCGATGAACCGATCACCGGGACTAACCCCATGGTCTTCAGACCTGAAACTTGGCAGTCTTAATCTCACCCCCCTTCTCAGGCTCCCAAATCGTGCCAACGCACACCCTCCCTCGAGCCAAAATGCAGTCGCGGGGATCGTCCATAGCTTGATTAATTGAGATTGCTGGGTTTTACGTAGTGCTTGTTAGGGACATGAGCAATTGAACGCTGAAGCTAGAGCGGCAGCCGATGCAGCCGCAGCAGCAGCTCAGGCAGCAGTAGCCAGAGCAGCAGCAGCAGTTGAGGCAGATGCGAAGGCAGCTGAGAGTGCTTCGACCTAAGGAAATAAGGGCAGTAGGGCAGATACAGGAGAATCTTCCTCCTGAGAGCGGGAGCTGGAAGTGTGTTTGCTCAGCCTGCAGGCCTTCGCATATAACAGTTACAATATGAAGGTAGGCAGGTCGCTTGCTTCTTTCTTCTTTTCTTCTAGCTCATGGGCTGGTCTCTGGGGACCTCCTGGGCCCTCCTCGCCCGTGACGCGTCGGAGAAAAAAAAATTGTTTGCACTAATCCAACAGCTCATCGTGTCATGTCAAAATTAACCCCGATTTGCTTTAAATATAATATGCGTCTGCAAAGTCAGAATCCGGCGAAAACTCGGGGAAACTCAGACTAGAGTGTCGATGTACGTACAGAACCTGTGTGTCGTTTGGTCTATACTAAATTAATAAGATCCTCTGATGCAAAATTATCCTACAGAGCTTGTCGAGGTGCCCCGTCCATTATGTTTTGTTCTATCCGATTCGCGCGGTGCTGGGAGTCTCGGCGATCGATTTGTGTCGGCGCTATCAGCAGCAGCGGAGATGGAGAGAAGTCCAGCGTCCCAATTGATGTTGCAAATTCGCTACAAACTAGTATCTTTGAATCATCGCTTTGCACGGAAAAAGGAGATTGACTCGCGTCAGCGTGCTCCCGACGGATGTCCCCTCGAGGCTTATCCTGTGCGTGGCTTGCTCAAAACAGCATGGCTACGCAATCAGTTTTTGGAACGACCTGCCGTTATCATTATCACAAGACGCGTGCCCTCGCTGGGCACGAAAGACCTGTCAGCAAATTTGGTCAGCCATTTAGACACTCTAAGAAGCGATCTTCTGGGTCGTGATGTGTGTATAGTCCTGGTACTTGTCGTGTCGAGCCTTACGGGCGACGATACAGATGTCATCCATGCAGACGCATCGACATCAATGACATCCTCGTTTGCTCGGACCGATGGATCAATAATAGAGCAACCGATTGAAGGGCGGGTCAACAATGCGTCAAAATCACCGGGCACGGTGGATCAGGTAGAATCACAAAAAGAAAATGACCCTGCTCCACCTAGCGCAGAGTCCACTCACTCAGACATAGCCAGCCCGTTGTCGTGTCTATTTTCCATACTGATGTTACCATCTCGGCGTAGGTGCGTCCGGATGCACAACTGAAGATGAAGAGAAAATACTCACTGCTCTCCGAAGGCGATGTTCACTGGGCAAGTACCCGAGCAAATGGCCTAGTAGCTCGTGAAATATGAATTCCACAGCTTAGGCACCTTTGGTCTTTTTGCATTGCAGCTGTGTCCATCCTAAGGCATTGCAAGGAGTGGCACACACGTGTGCAGGTCTTCCACGACAGAGATCTGCAGGCTGACACCAATTCGCAGGGAGACTTGCTTGCCAATTTGCGACGCACTGTCCAAGACTGTGCTATTCAGCACTACTTGAGTCGAGCACGGAGGGTAAAAAAATGGGAAAAAGCACTTGAGCGTGGCTACGGCGTACGTACACGTGTGAGTGTGTCCATCAAAAATGTTTGCACCTGCAGGCGTGGTGGGCCTTCATGGACCCCACTCGTAGCGCGCTACTCTTTTAAGATTGCGTGGTTCTATGAGTTCCAGGGAAATTTAGACAAAGCGCTGCGCCATTACAGAGCAGCATACGCGTCATTGTCGGCGCTCTCTGTGGTGCTTCTCGCTGCAGAACCAGCGATGATCATGGCATTATTCTCAAAGGAGTTTCAAGACCCCAATGATCAGGTCAAAGGAGTCGCGGACTACGTAAATTATAAGGTATGTCGCCTTGCTCTCCAGCATAATAAGGTGGAAGAAGCGGCCACGCAAATTCAGACGCATCTTTGGCACTTCCGACAAACGTCTGCTGGAGATGCGACCCATCAACACTGGGGCTGGCTTAGTCGCCAGCATGTTGTGTTTGCGCAACTCATAACACACTACTCAACATTGAGTTACTCGAATGGTACTTGTGTGGCGTCGGAACATATCCCATGCATCTTTGAAAAACCACGTGAGTCTGCGCGAGCAGATGTTCCATCGATTTCAGAACGATGTGCCTTAAACGAGCCTATTAAGAGTGCCCTACGCCTCAGCATGCCAACCAGCTCTGCGAAGCTCTCGTGCTCGGTTCCAATGACCCAATCTCAGATTAAGTTCACCAACAGTGGAAGTTTCTCGTGGTTACGAGACCAACGAGATTTTCTTGCCTACGCAGAACCTCTGTATCACTATGCCGCAGCCGCAGCGTGTGCTGTTGCGCGCTGCGTCTGACACTAGAAAGATATTCCCCCATCTCAAGTTTCTCTAGGTGCGGCGGGATGCAGTACTGAGAAACTTGCCAGAATCCGCTTTCTCGACTGAGAGGCTCAGCCGAATCTCACTTGCAGCACCTGAGTTTGTTGGTGCTTTGCCACGGGTCGATGAAGAGGTCACGTCACAAACATCAAAATCCCAGTCAATTCTTCCTGATACGCCTTCTGAACTCTCATCGGGCCTGGAGGGGGAGTTGTGTCGTGCTGCGCTGGATCATATAGCGCGTGGATTTGATCATGTGGCTATGGTCTCGGAGCTGTTGCAAGAGGCATTAGACACTCTGGGGGCATCGCACCGTGAGACAAAGCAACGAAGGGCTGTGTGGCTTCATGCTGCACTTGGAAATGCATTCTCCAAGGCCGAACCTGTCTCTCTTGATGTAGAAGCAGCGAGACATCTGGATGTTGCTCTCAAGTGGTACGAGGATAACGAGACACTAATGTGTAGTGGCATAGCAACAGCATGGGCCTGGTCACGTGCATTTTTGCTCGAACATCTAGGACAATGTGCATTGCGTCTAGGCAATAGCTCTCTATGTATCACTGTCTTTTTCAAGCTTGCACATAAAGACCTGCGGGATTACCTATCTCGCCCTACGGTTGCTATTGCTGCCCAGCGAGATGCTCTCAAGTTACTAACGCACGGTGCTCTTGATGACAGAGCCAACACAGCTCTGCTTCGAGGTTTCTCAACTGCTCGGTTTGGCGAGTCCCAGTCCCAAATCAAGGATTCAAAATATGCGGCTCCGGCTGTGCAGGTTCTTGACCAAGGTCTGGTTGATTGTGCAACTAGGATTGTAGCATCCGAAAAGAACACCGCTCAAACTATTGTTGTTGAGCTTCGGATAAGAATATCCACGCCAGAGCCGCTTCACATTAGGCACCTTGAGTTAATATTTCGATCAGACAACGCCGCCAAAGAAGATTCGGTTATAGTAAGACCAGGAGAACTAATATCACTCCATGGCCACAGGGAAGACTCGAGTGCACTTATTCCAGGCACATTCTATGGATGGTGCGGCAATGTTAAGGTACCTTGCAGTACAGCTGTGGCAGAAACACTGAAGCTTGTTCTTGCCAAAAATGGCTGTTCTATTCTCGCGTCAGTAAAGCCAGCAGCGGATGCACAAGTTCTCTTTGAGGTGTCACAAGCTCGGCGCGAATGCATTGCAACCGTCCATTTAAAGCCAACTGCAACAGCATCCGTGGAACTTTCGCTCGATGGGTCCCATGTAGTCTTCACTGGGGTACCTACTTTTATCAGAGCAGTAATCATGATAGTTCAGTCAATATCCAAACGAGTAATAATTGACATTTCCGCATCCAATGATGTGTGGCTTGATGTAACGTTTCAGCTTGATGGTGTCAGGCTGTCATCATCAGGTCCTGACTTAGTGCAAGTGATTCGGGGGGGGGTTCTGAGGCGCTACATGTTCAACATTTGCAATTTTGGTAACAAGGCTCGAGAGCTAGGCTTATGGATCACCTGTCATGAGCAAACTGAGCTCGTGTGCAAGGCTGCGATCGATAGGGGGTCGCTATCAGCAGCGGAGGGGGGGGTAACAGCTCGACCGGATGGGACGCAGATGGAGGAAACTTTAAGCGATCATTTCCAAAAGCGCATACAAGTGACTGTAATATCGCCATTTCTGGTGGAATTTCGAGTCATTAATTCACTGATTAGGTGTTCAGATTTCTGTCATTGGAATAGTGCCAATGTTGATGGTTCCGACGAGCGAGGTGCCAAAATGAAATGCACAATTCAGAATTCACAACTACTGCCTGTTGCGATTGAAACTATTACATACAAGCATGCGCCTAGAATTTCGTCGCGTCGTATTTTCCCCCGGGGGGTGTTGGCTTCAACAGTTTTGGCGCAGGAGGAGACACTTGCGATAGACTTCAGTACACCAATCTCGGGTAGGAATCAAGGTTACCTGGTAGTACGCTGGTTTGCATTGAATGAGGACCTCATCGTTGACCAAAGTGTCGAGACTTATATCTTATGTCCTAGTACCCTTATTGCGCAGTCGGTGGTCTCTTGCACGCTGGACGTACCCAGTAGGGCCAGTTTTGGTCATCCACTAGTTGCCACTTGGCGAATCAAGAACAATGCAGACTATCCTGTGGCTCTCCGCATTCATTCAGTAGTAGATGGTGCTTTTGGATGGGCCGGGAAAAAGCAAAGCCATGTTGAGCTGATGAGGCATGAAACTCTGGCTTTCAATGTGGCCCTATGTCCCCTCTATATTGGGACGGTGATAGTGCCAGGCTTGAATCTCACTGCTACTCAAGGTACGGACCAGGGCAACTGCAGTAGGCCAATGACTATGTTCGTCCTGCCCTCTGGCTAGTCATGAGGTTCCCAAGCAAGCACCTATATGACGCGGGCATAGCACCTTTGGGCACCCCGAACCCCAGACGCAGCCCCGCGCCCCCGACCAGCCACATCGTCTCGAGCCAAAGGCGAAGCTGCGCTCTCGAGGTATCATGCACGGCAGCGTGGTCCGTTGATTAGTGAGTGACAGTCTAGGAAGGAACAGCTAGATCTTGCGGCGGCTATCATGCAAGGGTTAGCGCCAAGGGCTTCGCTCATCGGCAGCCTGAGCCTCCTGCTTTGCCGAGGGAGCTGAAAGTCACTCTGGCAGAGCACGCGAACGCGGCGGGCGCGTCTGCATCGGCTGGGGTGACACCGAACGGTTCCTTGGACCGAGCGCGACGATGCTGGGGTGACACCGAGCGATTCCCGGTGCTGCATAGGTTCAAAACTTAGCCAGAGGTCGTCGGGGGAGCTGAACGCGCGTCATCCCAGCCCCTAAACCTGTTTGAGGCGCCACGCAATCACCCGGCGGTCGCGTTTTCGCCTGCGGATGCTCCGCGCCCCCGCGGTCCACAAAGCCACTGTGATAGTTGCGCTTCGCTGCATTTTCGCAGAGCTGCGGGCCTGAGAAGACGAGAGAGCCATTGCAGCCCTAAGTTGTGATCGAGGGTCGCGTGAGCAAAGTAAGCGTTGAAAGCCAAGTTCAACGACGTGTTAATGTCTCAAGATTTGAGGGAGAACGTTGGCGAAACTGGCCGGATTGACCGCGTTGGACGGACGCCGTTGGACGGGCAGCCAACCGCGATCGGACGATCGGACGATGAGCCAACCGCGATCGGACAAGGACGAGGCCATTGGATCCTCTTGTTTATTTGAGATGTGCCTTTTAAGCTCCAGGTATCCACGCCATTGGTTCGTTGAGCTCTGCTATACCGAGGACGGTATGAATCAAGTTTTGGGGCCCTGTAGCGGGAATTGCCCCTTCAACGTATACTTCTCTTACTTAGCTTCAGGTTCACAGTGCAGTGGACATATGTTGGCTTACTTGTATCTTTTGTACGAGGATACGCGGATTCGGCATCCTCTTCTTTTTTTTTCTTGCACACTTTTAGTGACCGAGGAGTCTGGGGGATGCATAGGCAGCTCGCTGGCTTAGTGTTGCTAGATCCCGGTGTAAATATCTACCTTTCTAGTATATAGTGAAGGAGCTTACATTCCTCTACACGGCGGCGGCGGCGGCGGTGGCGGCGGCGGCCGACCGACCGACCGACCGAGTCCCAAAAGTAGGCTACAAGGGCTTCGCCGGGGACCCGAAGGGACTCACCTCCCCGAAGCCCCAATAACTTTTTTTTAAATTCTACCCCCGTACCCCGGCGCTCGAGGCGGCCTCTCTGGCTGGCAGTCCTCGCACTAAGCCCGCGACGCCGCGCACCGTCGATTTTTACGCGTCGGCCAGACCGGCGCGATCGGACGATCGGCCAGATCGGACGATCGGACGAAGGCCACTGGACGCACGGCCAATCGCGGTTGGACGTGGCCAATGGGACTCGGCCAACGCGGTCAATCCGGCCAATTCCGCCAACGTTCTCCCTCAGCTCAAGATCGGCCGTAGTGGGCCATCAGCTGCAATTATTTGTCGGCGGGGGCGCGGGGGGAGTTCAGTGTGGTCGATCCACGGGCCTTGAAATTCTCCGGCCGCTGTCGTTGGTACTTCGGAATTCTATCATTCAACTTGCAGCAGCATTGCGGTGCCGCGCTCAATCCAGTGGCTTGCGGGCAACGGTGAAGGAACGTCAATGCACATGACAAAGTTGTTCGACTGGCCATCGGAGGAGATCTGGCCTGAACGGGAAGCTGTTCTATACAGTGGACAAGCGAAAGGACCGTCTGGTTTTCGATCAGTGCTGGTAATTGTTGGCTCAAACCAGATCAAAGGAGCTGCAGTGAATTGTGACTTCGGGAGGCAGTCTACAAGTCCTTTTCTGCGCAAGTCCCACCTTCCGCTGTGGATGAAAATACCCTTGACATGAACACCATGCGCTAGTGGGTCGGCGAGTCTAAAATTTTCCTCGGAAACTGATAATAGGCTACATCTGAGATAGATGTTCATTATGTTTTGTGAGCTGTGGGCTGCATAATCCAACTGCATTGCCGAGAGAAAGCCGACTGGCGAAAAAAATGCGCTCAGCCAATAAATGGGTGGGGCCTGTTGTAGTAACCATGATGCAAAAAAATTATACCGCAGGACCAGATCATGGATGTATGCAGTGAGTCTACTATTGGACAAATAAGAAAATCTGCACCAGTCAGTGGGAACTTCATCCCCTGCAATTTGTGAAATCATCTTTTCCAACGATGGGCCCAAATTCTTCTTACCGGAGAGTGCGCTGCTTATGCTGAACAGAGATCTCTGCACCGCGCCGGTGAGTACATTGTACTTGCCTGCTTCGTGGGCCAAGCTACTATCTGTAAATCCGATATTGCCCCCCAAATAGCCCCTCTTCACCTCACCATGGCCCAGTTCGTGTGATGGAAGCAGACACAGCAACTCATCAACTCGAGTTTCTACTGCCTTAAAATTGTCGAACTCAATGCTCTTGCTATTATTGGCACCCTGGGTGAGAAAGACAGCACTAAGTAATGATGCAGTTTCTTTGTTATTTCTCCCTGCCGTGGCACTTTCGTGGAGACCCAAAAACTCAAGGGGTGCTACTTCGGGCAGACCCTCGACCGTTCTAAGCCATGACGCCTGATTCCCATCTTGAAGGGGCATACGAAACTCACCAGAAGGACTGAGGGCATGGCCGGGACGTAAAACGTCAGAGCAGCAGAACCGACTCAACACAAGGCCCAGTAGGCGGTGATCAATCACGTCTGTGATATGCCCACCATAAATATATTCCCTGATACAGAGCTCGATGGCGGCAAATGGCGCCGCGTTTTGGCTATCTTCGTGGTTGTCAAGGAGATGAATGAGCTGCTCTGACGACATCAGCAAATCGGATGTCTGAAAGTTATATGACGCGTTCCAACCAAGCCTAAAGTAAAATTCAGTTTAAGCGAGATTCGCAAGTTGCCTTAGAATTGCATGGGACGCCGGGTGCAGACGAGCCATACATGATACGTTCGCGCAAGATTGCATGGCATATGCACAATGCAAAGAAAAGTCTACGAAACTCGTTCCCTCTAGTGCAGCGAGTTAAAAAGTCAGGAGTGCTGGCCAATGCGGACATGTACAGGTCAAGAACAACGGCGCGAACCCCACACAGCGGCTCATAGGCAAACTTGGTGGCTAGGCGAAGTACGTTAGTGGATAGTACGTTCTCGATGTCAACCACAAACCACAGACGAAACTTTGTGTTCGTATCAACCGACGCCCAGCCGAGGCAAACTTCCTCGAGACGCAAGCTAAACTCCGGGCATAATTGCGGGTTTCGCACTAGAACCCACGTACCACGCGAGCGTGCCTGTGCGAGAGTCGCGTCCCCGCTACTCCTGCAACCTGGCACTACAAGTATCTGCGCAATAAATCGATCCATGTGTTTTCCTGTGGCAATCACCATGTTGGCCGCGGCGGCCGTATTTTCACGTGTGGTTGTCACCATAATGGGCACAGCAGGCTTGCTTTCACTTATAATTGAATCAATACTGGCCGGTGGAGCATTGAGGAAATTGTTGCCAAGCTCATTTCGAACAAACCTTCGGACTGCATTTGCTATCTGGTCGGGTCGCAGACACCGAAGAATGCAAAGTCTGTTAACTCCACGTAGGTCAGCATCCCAGTGGCGAGGTAGGGGCTGCTCATGTGGCTCCGAAGCGTCATAAATGCGTTTCCACATCTTGATTTGAGCTTCGAACTCCTCGATCAACCCAGCAAAAGTCGGTAGGGTAGCAAGCGAGCACATTTCATTCCATTGTTCATCCGGTAGCCAAGTTTTCGCAGGGTTGGCATGCTCAGTCACCGCGATTGGTGCCTTTGACTCATGTTCTTGCGAAGTTTTAGTAACACCCAAATCAGGGGGGGCAGACACCTGTTTCCAAGAGACACTCGTAGCGCCGGTAAGCAAGAAGTGCCACTCGGCATCGCCTATGTGCCCCTGAGCAAGATGTGGTCGTACGGCTAAGAGCAGCGCAAACAGTAGCCTATCCTTTGTCAACAAGGCCGAACTAACGCGAGAAAAGAGTGTGTGGGCCAGTTTTATGCGCACATGATCGAGGCGGTTCGACAAATTTTGGTCTGTGTCTGCTTGTATCGCAGCATGGCCAATACTGCACCCTCGAAGCGTACTAAGCAAAATGGACTCGACGAACCACGTGAGAGAGAATGCATACACAGCCTCTACATGAATTAAGTCAGAGATGGCAGAAAAAAAAACTTGCGCAGCACAAGCTACTGGGATGTAATGCTCATGCGAACAATAAAGATCGCGCTTATTGCTACTTAAGTCGAGCTCTTGTTCGCGCAGGCCGCGAACTTCTTCCATCAATATGCGAGACTTCTCGATGGCCTGACCATCATCGAGAACGGAGGTGCCGTCCCCACGTTGCACTGTCAAAGCTGAAAGGACCTCTTTCTCGACTTCGCTAACCCGTTCCTTGCATCTCTTGTTTTGTTGTACAATGTTCGTTCCTTCTTTGTAAAGACTAGCTTGCTCTTGGGACACGATCACACGGAGCATTTCCATCTGAAGGGCGGATGGAGAATGCGCAAAATCAATCAATACGAGCTGCTCGCGCCCGTCCCAGATGACTTCTGGAAGTGGTCGTTTCAGCCATTGTGTTGTCATGTAAAATCTGAATCCTTCCTGGCAGTCAAATACGTTACTGAGGTTTGGAGGTCCAATCGACAGGTTTCTCCTGACGTGCCCAGACCCATCGCCGGTCTTTTCTGTCTCAGTGTAAGTTGCCGTGTTTAATTGAAGACAGCGTGGGATCATTTCTACCATTATCGCCGGATTAAGAAGGTCTTCTTCACGCACATCCTTGATAAGCACAGAGGTGCCAAGCGGAGCCGCAGTTTCAACAGCACGATGTACCCTGGAATGCTCTCCGGACCCGCGGACGACAGTCAAGTAATTTTCTGCGGAACACACCCATTTGAGTGCGACGCCATGGGGGTCGAACAATAACGGCCAACGTCGGGCATGTTTGGCAAAGAGGGCAGACTCGACGACTGACTCCAAATCTACAGCAATTGTATCTGTCAGGCACCATGGGAGAGGCGAGAGGGTATCACGCCATTCGGACAGACGGGGCTCGTTGAGCATAGATGCCAGTACCTGTGGCATTACTTCTCCAATCATGATTGAAAGTATGGGTCACTGCTTGTTACCAATGCTGGTTGAGGTGAGATTCCGTCG